CTGGTGGGCTGAGCTGGCCACACACACCTCTCTCTCTCTCTCTCTCTCTCTCTCTCTCTCTCTCTCTCTCTCTCTCAAATAAAAAATACTCAGTAGAAAGGGGAGCAAGGATATATTTGTTTAATGTTCTTAATTCTTTTGTTTGGATTGTCATTTTTTTGCTTCAGTAGTGCTTAGGTTTTTCTTTTTCTCAACTGTTTTAATGCCCTCTGTGGTTTGTTTTGATGGTTTTGTTCTGTTGTTATTTTGTGTTTCCTTATTCCAGGTTAATACGTTTTCAAGTATCAGGCATTTTTTACCCTTCATCCTTCAAGTATTTTGTTTTCTGTTTTGCCTGCCCTTTCTCTTTAGGGACACAAAAAGTTCATTTGTATTTGGCCTCTTGATTTTGTTCCATAGCTTACTAATGCTTTGCCAATTTTATTTCTTTAAATTTTTATTTCTCTATTTATTTTTCCTTTTCGGTACTAAGAATTGAGCTCACAACCTCACACTTTTCCAATTTTATTGTTTAATATTTTAGAGTTTTTCTTGCTGTCTTCAATTTTATTAATTTTTTCTGTACTATCTAATCTGTTATTCTTATTCAGGAAATAACGGTGTTTCATCTAAAACAGTATAGCTTACATCTTTAGAAGCTGGGTTGGGACTTTAGAAAACATATACTATCTTCCATCTTTTTGCTTGTTATATTTCTTTCCTTATTTGAACCTGTGAATTGTGCACAGCAACTTTAAATTGTTGACTAATCCTCTCCTCAGTGTCAGTTTCAGTTTTCCCCCTCATCCTGAGTCCTATTTTCTTGCTTCTACGTGGCTTGTGTTGCTCTATTGGACTCTGGATATTAGTTTTACTTGTTGAATGACAGATATTTCCATAATGCTGTAAATGTTCTTAAGATTTTTTTTTTTGTTCTGGGATGCAGTTCAGTACAGTTTCAACTTGCCCTGTGTTGCTTTTAAACTCTGTTAGAGAAGTGTAAGAACAACCTTTCATTTAGAATTAATTTTCCTTGATGATGCATGACCCTTCTTAGTATTCTCTCTTGCTTTTTCACTTGCATTGATTAGTGCACTCTGGCTGACAGCACTGTTCTGTGCTGTGTCAGCACTGAGCACTGTTGCCTCTCATCGTTTTGGATGGTTCTCCAATCTCAGTTTCCTTATGGACAGGAACTGACGCCTGCTCAGCTGTGTATAGAGTGAGTCAATCTGCAGCTCTATGAAGATTTTTCTGTGCGCAGTTCTCAGATTTTTGGTAATCAAGCCCCTTTTCCTGACAGGACTCCCCAGCTTTTCTTCTTTTGCTTACTGATGTAGCAGGGCAGGCCCTGTGCTTTCTACTAAATGGGAAGAAGTTTTCTCTCGATTGAGGGCAAAGGTAGTTGTGCTTGCCTTCTAGCGTGCACTATCTTAACTTTCTTGATATTTTTACTTTTTTTATTATTTCAGACAGAAGAGTAAACCTGCTACCTTTAATTTTTTCTTGTCTAGACTCTGTAGCCTTCATTTCTGTGTTCATGAAGTGGTTAATATGTGACTTGGGAAGACTTGCATAAAACCTGAAGTGAACTTCCATGTAGAATTTCAGATTTCAAATCTTTAACCTGAAGATTTGGGCAGGTTTGGAAAGTGTAGTGACTATAGTAAGATATATGCGAGTAAAACGCACTTTTCTGATAGATTCCATAGAATATTTTCTAATGTGGGATACTTTAAAGGAATGTTTTAACAGATGTATTTACTAAAATTAAGATCCATTCACATGAGGATTTTTTGTGTGGGAAATGAGCTGTATATGTATGCTGCTTTCATCTTCTAAAATAACTTCATTAATTTTTCAGGCATATCAATGAGGATAAAAGAAAAACAGAAGCACAAAAGCAAATTTTTGATGTTGTTTATGAAGTAGATGGATGCCCGGTAAGAACTTTTTGATGATTGTCGTTTTCTTTTTCTTGTTAATGAGGTTTTTAATACACTTAACATAAAATCTTGGCATTTTTAAATCTTTTTTAAAATCGTTGCTTATTAAAAAAATTATTTGATACACGTGATCTCTTAGTGTTTTCAATCTCTACAGGCTAATCTTTTATCTTCCCACCGAAGTTTGGTGCAACGAGTTGAAACTGTTTCTCTAAGTGAGCACCCCTGTGACAGAGGAGAACAAGTTACTCTCTTTCTCTTCAATGACTGCCTTGAGGTAAAGTTGTACTTCACATAGTAAAGTAAAGCTGTTGTCTTCTGTGACTTGCTGGAACATTTAAAAGCAGGTTTGATTAAAGTGGAAAATTCAACCTAAATAATCCGTGTTTTTAAAAACTCAGGCCAATTGTTGATTTAATACAGTATAATGCTTTTACAGGTCTAAATTTCCATGACTTCATATTCAAGTCAAAGTTAAAATTTATTTTTATGCAAATAAAGGCCTAGGTCAAGAGTTTGGGGAGCTTCATATTTCTGTGTATTTTTATTGAATATTTGCAAAATAATTGTGAATTCCTCTTTGAACTTTGAGATTTTTCCAGTAGATAGGAAGTCAGCATTTTATTGAACATATTCATAACTTGATAACTTACTATTGTGAATTTCTCTGGTTTTTTATTTTTCATTAAATGAGCAGATTTTACAGTAAATGTATGGTCAGTATGTCAGATAGGGTGCAATTAATCTAATTCTAAAATTCTCATCCATTCAAGTTAAATTTTTCTTATAAACCCCTACAATTTTGAATTAAGTTGATGTGCTCTTTTTTTTCTTATTCTTTGGGCATATATTTTCATACAACTAAACAGTCTGCTAGATAAAAAGGAGTACATTTTTCTTCATCTTAGAAGAGATAAATGTTCTTTTTTGATAAAGCAGACATAACAGGACTCATTTGACACTTCTGTTACTGGGTAACTTTCTCTTGCCTTCATCAAAGTGATTGGTAGTTTTCCTTTTTCTTTTAAAGTCTGTGCTCCTTCGTTTTGTCCTGTTTCATTTTATTTCTCTTGAAGTTTTGCCCTCTGCTATCATGTACATTGTTTTGTAAAGTATGAAATACAACGGAATCTTGTATTTTAGAGAACAAGTCATGCAAACAGCAGTTACAGGTGTAGTAAAGTATATATCAAAAATTGGTTTGTGTTAAATGTAGTTTTTTATTATGTGGTTAATTAAAAATAATATTTTTCATTTGGTCAGTTATTTACAAAAATCACAAAAATAATGATCATAAATTCAAGGCTAGAACAAGAGCTGTCTACACATTGCGACCTGCCTGGGCAGAGGAACACAGTACACAATTGACTGTAGTCTGAATTGAGAAAGCCATGAGGCAGGTAATTGTGGACTCTCTTTCCCTAAAAAGAATATTAGCCTGTCCTGCTTTTGGGAATAGAGAGTAGGCAAAGGGGGCAGTCAATTTCAATTGTATTTTACCTAAATTCACATCATCATGGCCTTTGACCAGTCTCTGTACATCTGTTTATGTGCTTCTCTTAAGGCATTTTTAGGTTTCTTTCTGTCGAAGTCCATAGGTGAATTGGCTCCATTTACGTATTTATTATATTAGGCTATCTGATCTTCCTTGCCAATCCAGTCTGATTTTATCTTCTAGTTCCTGGTGGAGCAGTGACTTAATTTTAATCTTATACTACCTTCCAAGTCTCTGTAATTGGCTCATTGATTTCGCTTATACTTTAATCTCTGTGGTTGGTCATCTCCTGTACTTTCAGTGTCCCTGGCCTCACGTTTTCTTCACTGCCTACTGACTTTTTGTTCTCTCTTTTAACTTCTGAGTCTCAGAATCATTTCAACAGAAACTGCTTGAAATTTGGATATCAAAATTCAAGGTCTTAAGTAACTTTTTTTTTTTTTTTTTTGTATTTTAGGGAGGGGTCTACAGGGTGTTCATGGTATTGCTACTAGGTTATATTGGTAGTGATCTGCCTGTTTACAGCCTCCAAAGCACTGGGATTTAAATTCTTTAATTTGCTTTTTTTTTATGTTTTTAGTACAGGGTCTATAGGGTTTCACTACACAGATCAGGTTTATAGTGATCCTTCTGTTTTCAGCTTCTCAAGCCCCTCTCAGTTGCCGTCTCAGTGCAACGTGGGGGCAGGTCCAGCAAGGCATGCCAGGGGTCAAATCTTTAATTTGCTTAAGAAAAATGAAACAGCAAATTTGAGATAAAATGATAACTTCCTTAACCTAAAACCTACAACAAGCATCATACTAAGTTATACAAGTTAGAAATAGTCTGTGTGATTATAATTTATGTTGTATTCTCTTTAATATAACAGGTAATATTTTACTTATGCTTAATTGATTTTAGATTTAAGGTTATTTTTTCCTATTTATATTTTATATGCTTTGAATTTTTATTCCTTTATTTGCTAAAATTTGTGTCATCAGTACTAATTTTTTTTTTTTTTTTTGAAATGCTTTAAAATCTTTATTTGGCTTAGCCTAATTTAAAAGAATATTCACATATTACAGTGAAAATAATTATTTTAAGTTGCTATTGTGTATTTTCAATACACTTAGGTAAATGAACTTTTAGCAATTAACATGTAGTATAGATATGCTTATATTTCTGCGACAATGTAAATGATATACTGACTAGCTTTTCCTGTTATTAACCTTAACACAGAGTAGTACATTTTGAGTTTTACTGTCTCATGTTCATGATGATGATAAATCAATCTCAGTTCTAGTAATTGATTCTAAATTCATTTTATATGAGTATCATTCGATGAAATCTGTTGTTATACTACAGTTTTTTTAAAAAAGGGCAACAAACTAGGCTTTCAAGGAAATAAAAACAAAAATAAAAAGGCCTTACAAAGTTCGTAAAACCTCATTATATTGTGAATCCCTGGTTCTTGTTTCGGCTTTGCTCTTGTCTTCTCCAGTGTTGCCTTACCCAGCACTGTCTTTTGTGTGAGCACCCAGCCCGAGTAGGTGTAGCCTCAGTGCCTCCTTGAACCTCGTAATTGGCAACATTAGTGTTTAATGTATTTTCAATTCTTTATGTTTGTTTTCTTCTGTTGTATATAAATAATAATAATGAGAGCAGGAATTGCTTATTTACTCTTATTTACTCTTTGTTTTACCAATCATTTCAGAGGACCCCAAAATATTTTAGTTAAGTTAAACTCTGTTATCCTTTGAACTTAAGGCAGGTCACAGAACAGCTCTTTGCTTTTCCGGAACTTGGGCTTTTTTATTCAAGGAACCTAATCCTTTGATATTAATGCTTCTCCCAATGCTTGTAGTTCTTTTACACTGTTAGGACTTCGTACACATTGTGTCCTTTGGCTTGCTTTTCTGACTTTAGAACTCTTCTACGTGAGCACGAGCATTTCTGCTGTACTGGTATGGTTTTGCTCACAGAGTAGCTATACCTGTGAAGTGACTAATACTGAAATAAGTTGTGTATACATTTATATAATTAGATCTGTATTTGGAGTTTGTTTTTAGTCATATTCCTGATGACTTTTTCATCTTCTATAAACAGATAGCAAGAAAACGCCACAAAGTTATTGGCACTTTTAGAAGTTCACCTGGCCATACTCGACCCCCGGCTTCTCTTAAGCATATTCATCTAATGCCCCTTTCTCAGATTAAGAAGGTGCTGGATATAAGAGAGACAGAAGGTATGCTTATTATACAAATTATTGGCTAAATAAAAATAGTTTATATTCATTGATGATGTAATTATTCCCTTATGGTTGGTTTTTAAACTGATGAGTTACCTGTAAGTATAATTAGTTAGTCTGGTAAAAGTACTATAATTGTGTTTGTGCCTCTGTCCTGTTTTTCTGTCTAGAAACATACTTGAGTTGTTTTGGATTTTTTTCGAATGAAAATGGCTACCTCATCCAGTAGGATGTGCTTATTCTCTAAGAATTAAAGATTTTTATTTCATTTTTTTCAAGAGAATAAAAAATAATTTTAAAAAATCTATTATAAGTGATGCAGAATTTCACCAAACAAGATGATAGGAATTCAGCAATAATTGTTATATTGCCTATTGTCTTCAAATTAGTAGTTCAGATTGCCAGATAGAACCATGGCAGACTGGTCCAAAAAGTTAAAAGAAGAAAAAAAATTCAAGCATTAACTGTTCTTTCAATAGAACAGTAGAAATCAGCAGTATAATTATCCAAGTGATCCTGTGTATGTACATGTACATTAAAATAGGGCTTGAGCCTTATTCCCACATCACAACTTTTGTTTTTAGAATCCTAAAGAAATTACTGATTTATTACCTATATTTTACAGCATAATACCTTTCCTATTACCAGTGGCTGTGTTTTTGTTTGTTTTGCTTTTTGTCTTTTTGAGACAGTGTTTTACTGTGCAGGTCAGGCTAGCTTTGATCTCACTTTATACCCCAGGTGGTCTCAAATTGACAGTATTTCTCCTGTCTCAGCCTTTAGAGTGTTGGGATTACAGGAGTGCAGCACCCCAGGCCATATTTAAGATAACGATTAGGAATAGGCATATGTGAAATGAATATACCCAAAGCAACTGGTAGACTTGACATAAGGTCACATATAATTAGTTAGCTTTCTATTATTGTTACAGAATGCCTGAGAGAATCAGCCTACAGAGAGGAGAGTTTTATTTTGGTCTATAGTTTTGGAGGTTTCTCTCCAAGACCTATTGTCCCCACTGGCTTTGGGTTCGAGGCAGCACATCCTGGTGGAGAGCATGTTGTGGACTGGACTATTCATCTTATGGCTGGAGCATCATAGGAGAAAGGAAGACCAGGGTTCCACTTTCTCCTTTAAGAACATGTTTGTATTGATTTTAAACTTCTGTAACCTAGCTGGGTATGGTGGCGCGTAACTGCAATCCCAGCACTCAGGAGGTTGAAACAGGGGGATCACCAACTGATTGAGGCCAGGATTTTGCCTACAAAATGAGTTCAAAGCTAGCTAGAGTTAAAAGTAAAGCCCTGTCTCGGTGAAATAAACAAAACCAAACTAATGAAAAAAACAAAAAAATGACACATACACACAAAGAAAGAAAAAGACTCCCTAAGCCCACCTCTTACAGTTTCCACCACCTCTGAATTGAGCTGGCGGCATAGTAGCATAGGGGGACACCCCATACCCATAAAGTGTTGCTGCATACAAGGAAAGCTTGTTCTCTTAACTTTAGTAGTGTCCAAGAGCATTCTCTGAGGGCCTGAGATTCCCACCTATGGGTGTGAATGGTGTTACCTGTTTAATTGGCATCTGATAATGTGTGTTTATGGCCATAGTTTGGATTACAGGCATATATAAATTTTATAATGTAAGCTTTTTTCATTATTGGTTCCTTTAATAATAGAAGGTATGAGAGTTTGTGAGAAATGATTCTTAAAACAAAAATGTGAGCAGCAGCTTGCATTGCTGTTTTTACTTGATTGTCATCAAAATGTGGTATACTTACTTAAATAACCTACATTTTGGGAGATTTTCATTATGAAACAATTTGTTTTAACATTTCAGTCATAAAACATTTAAATGATAGTTTTAACATTTGGGTATTTAGTAGTAAGTAGGTTTTTACTGAATTATACTAGTATTTTAGTTAGAAACTTAAATTGCAGAATTTTAAGAAGTGATATCTAATTTTTTCTTAAACTTCATATAAAATGTTAAATGGCATAAAAAATACTGCTTACTTAATATTCTAAAGTTATTGTTTTCCTATATATTATTGTTCCTTTCAGTGCTTCAGTTTTTATGGTGAGGTTCTTCATTTAGTTGAAAAAAGAGAGGACAGATAGGGTAGAGAAGAGATAATTTCGTGGGCATTTTGGTGCACTGAGGAATCTAAATTTAGAAATCTCTAAAGCATATAAACATTTACTCTGGTTGAACCTAGATTGCCGTAATGCTTTTGCCTTGCTTGTGAGGCCACCAACAGAGCAGGAAAACGTGCTGCTCAGTTTCCAGATGACATCAGATGATCTTCCAAAGGACAGCTGGCTGAAGATGCTGTGCCGACACGTAGCCAACACCATTTGTAAAGCAGATGCGGTAAGCTCTTAAATCGGTGCTCTAATGAAAATTTAAATTTCATGGCAGGACGCTTAGACCTGTACATTTCTGAATTGTGTTATAAATATACAATTATGGATGTAGGAGAATTTCAGTTTAGTATATATGCAGAAAAATTAGTTGTGGGTATATGCACTAGTTTAAGTTATTTGGAAAGATATAAGAAGTTTGGGTACATGAAATATTGAGTCCTTGCTTAGCAACAAGCCCTCATAGCCTTCTAGCTCTTAAGGTTCTGATTTAGTGAAGTTTGGGGCTTGTAAGCCGCAGTGTCCTTTTATGCAAAAATTTAACCCATTTACATTTAAGGTAATTATGGAAAGGTAAGGTTTTATTTACTACAGCCATTTTTATCATTTGTTTTTTAAGTTTATTATAGTTGTTTTCTTTCACACTCTTACTATCAACTTTCATAAGTGATTTACGCCAGCAGTGTGCTTCCTGATTTGAGTTTGTAGATCGTAGGTTTTTCCTGTGGTTGCCATTAGAATTAATAAAAACATCTTTTGCTTATAATGAGCTATTTTGAAAGATAGCAATTTGACATGATAATGATGGTAATAAAAGGAACAAATAAAAGAATATACAATACTAATAAAAAAACTCCACTTGGACTTCATTCCTTCCTACAGTCTTGTATTTTAGGGAAGGGGGTTTCACTGTGTAGATTGGACTCATAGTGATCCGCCTGTTTACAGCCTCCCAAGAACTGGTACAGGCATACTACCATGTCTAGTCTCAATTGCCATTTCAGCACGCCCTGGGGGCTGGGCCAGCATGGCAGGCCTAGGGATTGAACCCTGGCTCCTGCGCCTGCTTGCAGGTGCTTTAATCCGCTGAGCTATTTGGCCAGCCCTCCTTCCTACAGTGTATTTTAGTACACGATTTTTACAGGGTCTCACTACACAGATCAGACTCATAGTGGTCCTTCTGCCCCTCAGGCACTAAATTACGGGTGTGCGCCACCACGCCCAGTCTTAAGTCATGTCTCAGTGCATAGAGAGAAGCAGGGCTGGCTCGGCATGCCAGGGATTGAACCCCAGTCCCTGCGTTTGCCTAAGCAAGCACTTTAGTCCACTGAGCTATCTGGCCAGCCCTCCACGTCTTGAATTTTTGATGTCTATATTACCTACATCTTAGCATATTAATGTAAGTTATTGCTGTCTTTTTTTTATATTTTAGTCTTCATACTAAGGATGTTTACATATCATATTTACAATATTGTATGAGCATTCTGAATTTGTCTTAATTTGTGTTCTTACTCCTTTTACTATTTCTTGCAGGGCAGTTGTGAAAATAAATTTCTTCAGTTTTTGTTTTTCATTGAATGGTTTTGTCTCTCCTTTACTTCTAAAGGACAGTTTTGCTAAGTACAGTATACTGGATGGCAGTATTTTCCCTCAGTTACACCACTGTTCTGGCCTGTCAGGTTTTTTGCTAAAAATTGTGCTGTCAGGCAGATTGGAACATCTTTATGTGATATTTCTTTCTCTTTTTTTCTCTTTCTCTCAATCACTTTCCTTTTTTTTTTTTTTTTTTTCTTTGTTTCTTCTTTTTTTTTTCATTTTTTTAGCCTTAAGAATTTCTGTTATTTACCTTTGAGAATTTTACTGTATCCTGGGGTAGACTTGATTGAATTAAATCTAACCTTTGACCTTTTTTACAGCTGAATATTTGTTTCTTAGGTTTGGGACATTTTCTGTTACTATTTATTTGGGTACTCTTTCTGTACCAATGGTGGTAGAAGTTCTCAAACCCAGTAACTCAAATAAATATTCTACTCTTTTAATGGTGTCCTACCATTCTTGCAGGCATTCTTTTTGTTTTCCTCCTCTGACTGTATATTTTCAGATAGCCTATCTGCATTTATTCCTTTTTTCCTTTTGATTTATCTTAATTGATGCTTTCTGTCATATTTTCAGTTTTGTACAGTGTATTTTTCAGCTAGAGAATTTCTGTTTGAATTTCTCATTAGTAGCTTTCATCTCTCTATTGGAGTTGTCTGTACGAATGTTTATAGTCTTTTCTCTGTTTTGAAGCTTAATTGAATTTCCTAAAATGTAAAGCTATCTTGGACTTCCTAGCATAGTGGTTTCTATCTGTTCATAGTGGTTGCTGTCTGTACTTTCTGGGACCTTATTTGGACTGTTAGATGAAGTCTTTTGATTCTTTGTGTGCAACATCACTTGAGCACTGAAGGCTTAGGTATTTATTCCAGTCTTTGTATGTGGGCTTTGTGTCTGTTTCTCCAGAAATTTTAGGTAGGCTGCTGTGTTCTGTGATCCTATAGTCATTTCTGTTATTTTGGGACTAGGTGATACCCTATGTCCATGTTTGCTGTGAGTGTGCTTTTGGGGTGTTGTCACTGTTTGTAAAAAAGGTTGAGCCAAATCCAAATTTGTTTCAAATCTGCAGTGGTATGGTGGTCATTATGAAATAGGAATACCTAAAAAGGATAGTTCATCCCTGAAGTCTCTCTCTGGGGCTGTGGTAGGCCCAGAAGTCAGTCCACAGTCATAATGGCCTGAGTTTGGTTACTATAGGCATGTCATATCCTTAGCTCACAACTAACACAGCACTAGTGTAGGAGCAAGGCCCACGCTACCATGGGCTGCCTTCTTCTGAAGTACACATGGGCCCATAGATTGCTGCAGGCAGGTTTAGGTGATGCTGACTGGACTAGAAATCCTGTAGCCTGGGACCACAAATCTCTGCCTGGCAGTAGAACTGTTCTAGTGACTGTCCATGGACGCAGGCCTGGGAATGGATACTGTATGTGTTGGCTTTCCTTTTGCTGGGACAAAGTACACACAACTTAAAGGGGGAAAAGTGTTTGTTTGGCTTACAGTTTCAGTCTGTGGTCAGCTAGCTCCAGTGTAGGAGCATCATGGTGCTAAGGTGTGATGGAATAAATGTACTCATTTCATGGTGGCTGGGTAACAGAGCACAGGGGAAGAGTGCTCTTTTTACCTCCAAAGGCATGCCCCCAGTGACCTTCCTCATAGTAGTACATCCCACTTTGAACCTAAGTGGATGAATCCATGTATAAGTGCAGCACCCCACTGAGCCAGCCAGTTTTCTAGGAGTCCTTAATCAAAGTTGATGATTAGTGGGCCTACGTGCTGTTAGGATGTGCCCAGTGACAGATTTCACCAGGCTTGGACTGAGTTGCAAGACAGCCCTGTGCTAACTGCCCTGCCTTCCCTTAAGCGTATGGGATCATGCTCCACACTGTAGTGCTGGTAAAGTCAGTACCTTGGTTAGCAAAGTCGACAACTAAGCTGTGCTGCACCTGAGTCACACAACTGTAAGAATGCACACAGTTCTTGGGGTTGTCCACAGGACAGGTCTAGAGGCTTTCTCTATGACCATTGATCTTGGAATAGCTGTGCTACCAGAGGTTTCAGGATTAGTGGTAGAAGCAGTCCCTTGGCTGCCAAACAGGACACTCAGCTGGGTCATACCTGAGTCTCAGCTGCAGAGACCTGTGTAGTTTGGGTAGGTATGCCCCAGGTCTACTTCAAACCTGGCACTGATGCAGGCTAAAATTTGAGTGTCCCCCTGGCACAGAGGTTTACCTCATGCCTTGTCAGGTTTAGAGGCTGTATCTCATCTCTGGCCTGATATGGGGTCTTTGGTTTCTGTATAAGTTGGGGCTTACTGCAGTGGGTTTTGCACTGAGCTCTAAAAGCCTGTGCTGGTTTTGTCACTTGTTTCCTAGCAGGTGGAGTCTTGCTCTTGTTCCCTGCTCTGCTGTTCAAGGCTATGTGTAACTGACATAGTCTTTTTGCCTCTGGGTCAGCAGTTTTTGGGTTTTTGCCCATACCATGTTTTTCCCTTGCGAGCCTGATAATAGGTTTGAAATCTGAGGCCTAGATTTACTTTCCTCTTCTTCTGCCAACCATGAGGCATCCCATGTTGCTTGATGATGGAAAAGGGCAAAGCAATCTCTTTCCTTCCTGCTTTCCTTAGAGCATCTTTTTCTTACCCTAAAAGCAAGCAGTGTGGTCTTTTCCCTAGCCTCCTTGTGAAGATAGTTTGCTGCATGAGTAGCATTTCAGGCTGGTATCTCTAGTGTTGGGGGGGACCTACTGCCCTTGAATCTACTCAGCCACCATCTTGCTTTGTTCTTGTCATAAGATTTTTATAGCTGTTCTTAGGCCTATAATGGTTGTTACAGTTTGAATAAAAATGTTTGGGACTAGAAGTATTTCAGAGTTCGAAATATTTACATAGATTTTGCTGGTTGAGCAAAATCTGAAGGTTTTGTGTATTGCATTATTTTTAAGGAACATTTTAGAATTTTAGATTAGGGATATTTAGTCCTGTAATGCAAAAGGATGGCCTTTGTAAATAATCTTACTGAAGTAATAGGTGTCATGACATGTTGCTTTCCTTACCAAGACAACTTGCCACCCCATTTCTCTCATACCAACTTTTAAAATCAAATGTATACTAATAACATGAAGATTAAAGTGAGTATAGATGAGATCAAATTTAAATTAGACTTGCCAGAAATCTCTTAGCGTGTCTTGGCTCTTGGATGAAATCTAGGTCCCCTAAAAGATGACTTAATTTCTTTCTTTCTTTTCTTTTTTTTTTCTTTTTTTTTTCATTTCTTTCTCTGTATACATGGTATACACTTGTGATAGAGAAATATATAGAAGCCTTACTCTTTGCATGAGTTATGTAGATTAAATAGAATGCCCTGGTAGACCACTGTTTTCAGTACAATAGCACTACAACTCAGATTAGTCTTAGACATTCCCGTGGGAATAAAGTATTTTGTTATACTTAAATCTGACCTTGGAGATAAAGATAATATAGTTTGTAAAGTACATAATCCTTAATTAAAGCTCCCCTACCTAACATTTGAATAACAACTTTAAAAAAAAAAATTATATGGGCCAAGAATATGTTAGCATATATAATGGAATATTTGTTTTATAAGAAGGGTCACCAAGGGAAATACGTTATTA